ACATTTTTAATAAAATTTATGCTATCAATGAAATGAACATAGAAATGAAGATAAGAAGGCATTACAAAATAAAATGATTCTATAGATAACAATGAAGTTTACAGAAACCCACGATTAGTGAAACCCCGATTTAAGGCTACTTCATGAATTTGTGAGTCTGAACATTAAACTGAGAAAAATCTTAAACGAAGAAATGTAACATTGAGACTACTGACCTAGGATCATTGAAGCTGACATTAAATGTGGGAAAATCTTAAATTAAATGTGGATTCTGCCGCATATAAAAGCTAAGGATTGCCATCCTTACATACAATTCATCATTAGGAGTAGTAGTTATGGTTAGGACTGTCTTGCAAGGTCTTCTTTTATCCTAATACCTTCTATCCCATACCTCTGGAGTATTCATTCGCAGCCAGTAATATGCTTCTCTGAAGTCATCAAAGATGATGCGAGATCCATCATGTGATCGAGCTGAGAGTACAATGCTGGGGCTGCTGTAAGCTTCTGATGTAACCCATGTGCAGTGAAGAGTATAGGACAGCAGCAAGAAACACATCATACCAACAAACACTGTTGCAATCTAAAACAAATATTTTTCAGACTGGAAAAATTAAAGACAATTTGAAAGAAAAAATAAGCAGAGCTAATTACATGCTGCATTGCTCTGCAGACAGACACTCATCTCATTACTTACTGAATGATTCCTGTATTACATATTGCAAACGCATACAAATGTATAATTCAGTTTACGATGTACTTACCTCACTTTTCATAACAAAATTGCTCTCAAATTTCTTAGCTTTCTTGTCCACGTTCTTTGTTGCATCAACCTGTTTCATGTATGTTACCAACATTGCCGACACAGCGATACCAGACAGGATACACATGACTGGAGCAAGTACAAGCATCAGACGCACCATCACACCCTGCAAAAGCGAGGTATGATATGCTACTTCCATTACTTTCTTAACGCTCCACTACTGCCACATTTTCATTGATCAGAGCTTGACTTCAATATATAAATTCAGTAACTCATATTTTTTGATGGAATAACATGTGAAGTTGGATGTGGGATAGCTCAGTCAGTACAGTGACAGCCTTCAGGCTGGAAAGCTGGGGTTAAATTCCAGACAGGGGCAGGATTCTTCTCTTCTCCACAACATCCAGGCAAGCTCTAAGGCCAACCCAACCAGGTGTGATTTCCCCAGAAGTAAAGTGGACAAGGCATGATGCTGACCACTCATCTACATCTAGTGCCGAGGTCAAGAATGGTGGAGCTATGCCTCTACTCCCCCATGTCTTCATGGCATAGTCATTACTTAATTAAGCAAAGGAACAATTTTACCTTTTATAACATGTAAACCCTTTACAGGTTATATCCTACCTACTCATACAATGAAGCTTCCTAACAGCATTCCTGCTGCATTTCCTTCACACAGCATTTTCTTGTGCCACAGAAACAGTCTACAATTTATACTAAACACTTAGGTTGTGTGATTAGGAGACCATATTGGGGAGGCCCCAGGTTTGATCTGTAACCCAGAAATCTTGAAGACTTTCAGCGCTATCTTGTATCATTCAAGAAAATTACTGACATTTACTTCCATTGCTTTAACATCTTGCACGATTCAGCATTCAAATTAATTCAATCATTTTACAGCATATACCACTTGAGACGTCTCCTTAAATAAAACAGGAATCAATCAACATATTTATCATAATTTTCTTCCTTACTTGGGATCCTTACTTAGAAAAATTTGTAAAGCAATGAAACCGCCCATTAACATTCCCCAATTTAAGGTTCTCTCTCATTTAGAATTCAATCCCAAAGCTCCCAAGACAATAATGTTACTGTTACATTTACTCCAAATGAATTTTCCTTTGGTTTAGTGTTCAAATTCACAACTTCCCAAAGAGGGTTCCACTGGACAGAGATTTGAGATTGGTAGTCTAATGTAAGACAACTACCTTTCTATGCCAGTGACCTCAGATTCAAAACTAGATGCAGCCATTGTTGACTCCTGATCTTGCAAACATGGCCACGACCACGTTCTGCACAGCCACGACAGGCAAGAGCACACACTCTGCATGCCAGTCTTATCATCATTTTGCACACATTCAAATCTACTTGTTGAATGCTCCAGGCTTCACAAAGAAACACATCGGAACTGCTGAAAGTTGTAATGTATAGGTACATGGTGTTGTAGCCAAAAGCCTTATTAAGGTAAATTTGGCCCTGTGCTTAATTAATTAAGCACCACACTATGAAGATGCAAGAGGGACTGAAAATACAGCTCCATCATTCTTGGCCTTGAAATTAGATGGTGATGAGTGGTCACCTCCACACTCTGGCCACTTTACTCTGGGGAGTGTCCCCAGTACCCACTGCATATGAGAATGGGTGGGGCCAAAAGTCAGTCTGGCTGCTGTGGAGAAAAGAAAGATCTCCTGCCTCTGCCATGAATCAAACCCAGCTACCCAGCCACCTCACTGCTCTACAGAGTGAGCTATCCCAGCTCCCTTCACCATCAAAAGAGTGAGGATAACATACACGTCACTATACACAAACTGGTAAAAAAGAGGATATGGAGTTAACCTTAAGAGAAGAATGCTAGATAAAATTTCATACTTAGATCATACCAGTGATATTCCTTGGCAATTAGTACAGTCAGTTCCATTGTCTGTTTTATACTTAGGTATAATAACAGACTCCTTACATTGCTGAAATAATTATTAATTTCAAACAGACTCAAGAAGCTCATGGATATAAATGTTTTACCTCCTGCTGAGACCATCTCTACCGAAATTTAATCCATACCTGGCAATTTATATCTTCTTAATATTACATACTAAAAGTTCAAAACAAAATTACATTTTGACAACTAATACACCTCTGGAAATAGTGCTTGCAAACAATAATAATAAAAAGTAGTGATCCTCATTATGAAATCAGGTATATAAATTTAGAAAATTACCATCCTGCAATTCAGCAAATGTTACTGCATCATCTACTTCACAAAATATTATAGGCAATCATTCTGCTGCTTGTATTCATGTGGTTGACGAAAATCTCCTCTAAATCTGAGACAACATAAACTAAAGGTATTTGAAAATAATGTGCTAAAAGAATATATCCAAATTTAAGTGACACATTAAACAGGTTAATGTTATTCCACATCCCACAGTCATTCTGACTAGCTTTGGGTCCATGCAATGTAATGTAATGTAATGTAATGTAATGTTAGGGAAATAAAATAAGTAAATCATGATAAGCTGGATACAAATAAGAAACACACACAGAAAAGTGGAATGGCAGTGCCTTAGTTAATGACAAATAAACAAAGTTTTGCTACAAAGTGCATACTCACAGCAAAGTAGATGCTGGTGACACCATAAAGAACAAGGAATATGTTTGCATCAGAGAGCTTGGAGAAACAGAAGTAGAGCCCAGCTGGAAACAGGAACACCAGAATCTGGAGATCGAAGTAGAATGATGACCACGATGTGGGCTGATGCTCAGAAACAGAAGCAATGATTGGAATGTGGTTCTTGGCATAGCTCGGATCCAGAAGAGAGTAGAATCGTCCAGTCCAGGGGGAGATTTTCCCTGCAGGAACAACCATTTACTTTTTTTTTTATAAAAACAAGTTCATCTTTAACATTTTGGCAACCAGCAAAATAAATTCTTTCAACACCTACAGCTTCCAGAGAGCATGAGATTCAGGGCTGAATCACAAAAAGAGCACCAAAATTATCAATACAATGACATTCAGTCTTTGTGTCCTTTTGCTGTTACTACCCAACACCTCCTATTAATATCCCTAACTAACCACAGGTCATTACTTCATTTTCTTTCACAACTTTCACAAGTTTTCTTTAATGCTTAAAATTAGACAGTACTACATCTCCAGAATGAGAGGGACACGTGACAGTGTAGCTGGTTGAGACAATATGCTACAAGCTGGAAAGTCGCAAGTTGGTTTCCTGATGAGGTCACTGGATTTTTCAATTAACCTAACCCTTCCAGCTACACTATGGCCCTAGGGTTAAGCAGCCTCCGTAGTCTAGGGGTAACGTTCGCACCTCATGACTCAAGGTACGCGGGTTCAAAAACGGCGGAGGTCATGGAATTTTTAAGGGTGGAAAAATTCAGGGAACAAATCCTCCAGGAGGGACTTTAAGCCGTCGGTCCCGTGTCATAGCTTTACGGCACGTAAAAGAACCTCATGTCCCAAGGGGACCACTGAGTCAAATTGATTGGACATTTCCTGCCCAACAGTAGTCTCTAACGCCTCTGATAGATGGGGGAAGCATCGAGAGATACCACTCAGCCAGTAGAGGCCGAACTCGCTGGCTGAGTCGGGACTGATGGCACGCACCAGTATCGGTAGGGTATAGAGACTGGTAGAATATCACAGAGGGGACGTACAACAGACCACTGGTCGAGGTGCATGGGGAAACCCACCCCACCAATAATAATAAAAAATAATAATGGCCCTAGGGTTGACTCTTAACAGGAACGAGTACCAGAATTTTTCTGGGGGGTAAAGGGCAGCTAGCATGTAAGACTGACCTCACCGCCATCTGTGAGCTGAGTGTCTAGAAAATGCGTGAGCCTTCGACATATCACAATCCTACATGCCTCCATACTGTTGCAGGACTAGCTTTACCCTTTTTACAACTTTGGAATATGTAATTAATCATCTTTCCACCTCACATAAGAGATAAAAATATTAGTATATGTCATGATGAACTCCACTGCCATCGGTACTAACTTATGCACTATTTACTGTGAAAATATTCAGAGCTCAAGCATGGAACTGAGGGATCATTATGTCCCACATTCTATATTTTTCTCTATCACTATGAAGCAGCAGTGAAAATCAATATATAACATCCACAATGGCAAATTGGTTCTTTCACACAGTATACATCCCATCCCATAAACACAGGAAAAACTGCTTTTATGAGCAAACACAGATCTTAATTTATGTTTGACAGCCCTTATAATAACTGAATTTATATCAATGAAATGTTACCAAAAATTCTCATTTGCATCTGGAAATAAGCTTCATAAACAATTGTGTTTTATGGTGTTTTATGGTGCGTTTTTGTGGTTTTAGGAGTGAACACAGTTTGACAGCCTTTATCAAAACAGCATTTATATCAATGTCACCAAAAAATTCTCATTTGCACCCTAGAAATGAGCTTCACAAACTGTGTTTAAATCATTATCTTACACATTACAGAAATCTGCATAATCAATGCGCCCGGTAACTGCAAAATCCAAACTGTGTTGAATTTGATGTTCTCACAATGTTGACTATGAAGAGCACAATCTTCTGGGTTTTAACACTATGCAGTGCTGTAGAAGTTTACTGATATTTCATGGGATCGTACTGCCTCCATCATCAGGGTCAAAAGTAATGTCAAGCACAAAACCAGCAATAAACGAGCAGCATGGTCATAAATGTAAAAAAGGTAGAGTTGTCCTTGTGCTTAACTAATTAAACACTATGCCATGAAGGAATATGGGGGAGTGGCTGTAGAGATCCACATTTTCTTGACCTTGGCACTAGCTGGAGGTGGAGGTCGTATTCTTCAAAATTAAAGCTGTGCTTGAAAAGCTAAAGATAGTATTTGGCATCCATAAAATGAAAAAGATCTTTCCAATCTCAGAACTAACTACAGAAACACTTACCATGTTTTACCACAACAGTACCATTTCCACAAGAGTATAGAATAGCATCATTTCATGGTGTTACAGGGATTCTTGTTTGGACAGAAATACAAGTTACAAAGAATGAGCACTGCTCACTTCACTCAAATTGCATTCCTTCAGACTTATCACAGTTATTTGGAACAATTAATTTAATGCAATTCAAAACAATTTTAGATACTATATTTGAGATCCTCATACTGGTGGCTATGAAGAGTACAGTCAACTCTCGATTATCCGGGGGCGGATTAACCGGTTTNTTCTCGTATGTAACACTGTGTAGTCTAGTTTACTCTTCAACCCTGACAATGGAAACAGTACATTCCTGCGAAACATCAGTTGACTTCTAGTGGGCTATAAAGTGTTACAACCCAGAAGAAGTACTCTTAATTTCAATCTCAGTTTCTTTTCACTCACCATCAGCTAACAAAGTAAAAAAAAAAGTAAAGCTATCCCTGTAACAGGCTGTGCAGGTCCATAGGGTTGTGAGACGTTAAGGGTCCCACATTACCCTGAGAATCGGCTCAAAGATGGCGGTAAGGTTGTCAGCCTTACACGCCAGTCGCGCTTCACTCTCCAGGAAAATCATTTAATTAATTCATGTTACTCATTTCTGTTAGAGGCTGAGTAAACCCCAGGGCCTAGTGCGGCCGGAAGGATTAGGTCAATTGAAAAAATCCAATGACCTCATCGGGACTTGAACCTGCGACCTTCCGGCTTGTAGGATAGTACCTTAACCACTATGCTACCACGTACCCCCACCATCAGCTAACGCATACCTAAAACCTGAAAGTGCAGGAAATATTTTGTACAATCATACTAGCTACATCCTGAAAGTTCTGTGAAGAAGCGAGTGTGCACATCCTTCTGACTGTGGTATAAGTCAATGTACCAATTCACTGTTTAGCTGCTGTGGACAATTAGATTCAGATTCATAACTTTACTGCCTGTCAGGTCAATGCATCCAAGAGAATGACCACTAGTAAAACTATCCTGTACTTACTACAGCAGTGAGGACATTAATAGGCTGTTAAATAGTCAAAATTCTGAAACTCAAAATTCAAGACAACTTATAATATAATCCTTAAGGACACCTAGACAAAAAGTAACTGATGGCTACTTTATGACACTTCTAATATCCAACACTCTTGTTTCATCATGACACATATCATACCTGTTAGGGTAAGTGCACCTCCCACAACTGCGGTTATACCTGCTGTGGCAATCACCATTGCGTGGAACAACACTTCAAAATCCTTCTTAGTCATGCGACTGCGGAGGTAATCAACAAAACTGTGCAGCTGACAGAGCCCGAACACACCCAATGCCTTGTAACAATCATCAAACGAATAAGAAAATCTGGCATTGTGGCATATCTCCACAGATCATTTAAAATCACTGTTTTAGTATTTATTATGAGGACTTCAGTATATCATGTAAAAGAGCACTCCCCTCTCCACCCATGTTATGAAACTCCAGTCTTCCTAGCAGTATTCCATCTTCCATGGAAATTTCAAAATCTGGCCATTACCTGACATGCTGATGGATCAACACACTGAGCGTGTAAGAGTTAAATGAAAGGAAACCTTAAATCGAGGAACATTAAGTGAAGCGTTTCACTGTACAAAGTATAATGCTGACAGTAACACAAAAGTTTCTGTACAAGCAGGACATGGTAGAACTGGTTGCATCTTGTTACCCTCACACACTTCTTCCCACTCAATCATTACATGTTCATGGGCCAGAATGTCCAAATTGTTTCTACCGCCTAATCACTCATGGCAATCAAACTGTCCACATTTATAAAGTCAATAAAGCAGTTTTGGAAATCAACCTGACCTTGCAGTTCCATCCAGCTGCCATCATCCAGGTTTTGTTCTTCCATATCAACAGCCGCAAAAAAACCAGTGCAAACGCGCTGACTGATCTTTCTCACTTATGCTTGACAGATTATAGCCTAATCATCTGGATCAACTACCTCTATCAATGATAACAATTTAAGCAAAATCTGTCATGCCATTTTTGGAAATAACTGACATTTCACGTTTGGGGTACTAGTGGGTGTACTTTATTTTCCTGCAGACACAGCCTATGCAGTCTTATTTAGGGAGATGGACTCCGAAAATACCGAAGTTTAATTCAAATTAGGGTCGTTTCTAACAAGGATCACAATTCTGTGTCTGTCAGCCCCCTCTTTTTAGACAGAATGTTTGTATTAACAAGGCAACAACCTAAGGTGGATACATTCTTAGAATTCCATATGAATAAATTCTGCACAAGAGTTCAGCTGCTGACAGGGCACAGACATACAGACGAGCAACATTCCAAAAATCGTTTAAGTGGTGCTTAAAACATGTAAATCCATCAAAACCTCACGACTCATTTTTTTCACAATTACAGTACTTTCCCATTTATATTACGTATACGAGAAAGTAGAAGCATAAAACTCATATTTACAAGGCCAGGAAGAGAGAATGTAAATTAGGCAGTATTCTTTAAACAACCAATACTGAATTAACAATGTTCTACTGCACAGTACTTACTATGTCAGTATTACAATGTGTGTTCCAGGATACTCAAGTTTTACAACTGCGTGAATTATATCTGCTTGTATAATGATGCTGAAGGACCCTGCACAGGATGTTCAAGACAGCTGGTATGGGCGCTCGAATCCAATTCATATTGTCCTTGTATAATACTCACCAACATGTGTTCTGAGCTCTGGACAGGCTGGAATCCAACAAAACTAATCTGCATGGACAGTATGGTGCCCACACAATATAATGTACTGTAAGCTACATAGATGCGATGTGAGAATCGCCCTGTTGCCATCAGAGTCAGCACATGGAGTGGTATCAAATTTATTAGGAACACATATCCACCCCAAGATGAAACCTATGTACAGAACAACATAAATATTACTAAATTATTAATGAAACGTCTGCTACTGCTGTGAACCAGTTTCTACCAAAAAAAAAGTATTCTCACTCCAGTCATGCACAGATTAACACAACTGTGTCACATGGTCCAGCTCACCCAGCACTACATTATTTTAATTATAATACCCGAGTTAAAATATGACATGCAGAAGTTGGAAATTTAAAATTCCCTATCCCTTGATGATAAACAGTTACGTCCAAATTAAAACACAGCTGCCACCACTGTAAAGCTGGGAGATTTGAAACCTCTATTTCCAGACAATAAAAGTAAAACTTCATTTGACATTCATTCAGTATGTTCCATTTATTAATTTCACCTTCAGTTTTACAACAAAGCATGAATATAATCATGAAGCCAAGTTAACAGATCCATCTAACTCCATGGAGCCTAGTCCTTCCTGAAAAGCCACCAGTCGCTCAGCTGCTCAAGAATTTTTCAACATTTTATGTATCCCGAAGGTTCATTACCAAGTTCACAAGAGCCCTTCACTTGCCTCTATCCTGAGCCAAATCAATCCAGTCCATACAAACACCCCCATCCACATCTTTCTAAGAGGTTAACAGATCTCTATTGATAACTATCAAAATAATCTATTGCCTTCAGGCAAGTTGAGATTTTGTGTGGCAATATGAATCTCAAACCACAAGCTGAGGATTTTACTGTAGGTTTTAAATCAACTTAAAGTATAACAATCAATAATTTAGGATGAATGGTAATGTTGATATGCAAAATTTATGAACATGACGTGAGGAAAAGCTTCATGCTATTCAATAATTGTCACTACATCATGTAAAACTAGTGATAAAGTGTGCAGTAAAATAACAATGAATCACTTGATTCAAAACTTCAGAATGTGTCACAAAGCTTGTTTACGTGCTGCAAGAGATGCTTCAAAGTAGACAGTGGTCAATTCTAGCAGTAATATAAGTTTGTTTCACCTTTTAACAGTAATCAGTAGAGAGAATCAATCAATACAGAGAAAATCCCATGTACTGTGGCCTTTAGTCACACAGCAAATTATTGCTATGTTATTGTAATCAGCACATTTCCATCTCAATTGGACACCCTGTATTTCAGCTTAATCACTAAGTTCCAGTCACTCTTCTTCACCAAAATGTAGATATAAGCAGAAATAGCACACAATACTTATAGATGAAATTTCAACAAAAACAAATACTCTAGTTCTATAGCATATATTTTTAAAACATTCCTTCAAATACTGGAATTATTTCTACACTTTCAATCATAAAACTGTTATCTATTGGTATGAAAAATGATAACCCAATTAACGTTTTATAGGTGGTTACCAGGCTCTAATACAATCACTGCAGATTGACAATATGTGAAAAAAGAAAGTGTGTCTGATATAAACCATGGAATGTTGGTTCAACATGACAAATGTTCAAAATGGGCTCAAGAAGATACAAGTGAATATAGATTGTGGTTTCTTTAAAATATCTACCATGTAAAAGTATGCGAGAGCAGCCAAAGTTGACCAAAAGATGGTGCCAGTCTTCACAGCCTTGATCCACATGTAGTAGGTTAGCAACATGCAGAAGATGGCAATTCCTGCAACAGTTGAAGCTTCAATGAGCAATGCATACATTATAACACTAAAATTTACTGTACTAATTCAATTTCAGCAAACTACTTCATATGATTATCCTGCAACTAGGACTCTTCACTATGCAGAAGCTAACAGTCAATCAACTAGTCAAGAAATTTCCCATTTTTTATGGAACTGGAGGTTCATTACCATGTTCACAAGAGCTTGTCACCGAGTTCTAGAACCCAGCCCATACTACCACAAACTACTTCTTTATCTATTTGAATGCCACACTACACCACATAACTGCTTGCTATATGTGGTATGGCTACTTAGTTGTAAATGCAACTGAACACAAAAACCCACAATACTTCCCTCAAATGACCTTCAAACAACAAGAGACATACTTCAAGTAAAAAGCCTGTTCTTTCCTCTAAACATTCATATGCCACATTTGATGCCATCTGCTTAGAAACAAGCAAGTTGATTTCTTCAGCTGTGGCAGATTTATTGCAAGTACCCTAAGCTAATCTAATTGGTATATGACACACAAATATTAGTATATTATTAATTGTGAGTAATATATTATCCTCTCAGCTAAGTGTAGGCCTTCCATGTAGTCTCTGGCCTTCAAGTTTTGCAACAAAAATTGTATGTGTGCTCTGCCTCTCCCATACACAGTGTGTCCAGGTTCTGTTAGGACTGTGTTTATTAAAAATATAAGATGTGAAATATTTTCAAAATTCTACTCTTTTTATTCAAAATATTCTCCTTCTGAATCAATACATAGCTGGAATAAACTGAAAAGTTTTTGGAAACAGTCACTGTACTCCTTTTGTAGAATCGCATTTAGAACTGCGGTACATTCCCTTTGGATGTCCTGGATGGTGTAGTGACGGTCTCCTTTCATCGCCAACTTAACTTCTGGGAACAACCAGAAATCGGCTGGAGCCAAATCTGGCAAATACAGAGTATGATCAAGGACTGTGATCCATTTTCTGGCCAAAAAAATCGCACACGATCTTCAATTTGTGGGGTGGTGCATTGTCATGGAGGAGCAACCAGGAACCTTGCTCTCGATATTCAGGTCAAATTCAAAGAATTCTCGCCCATAAATGATTGAGGACTCCGAGATAATAATCAAAATTCACCATTTGACCTTCTGGCAGAAATTCCTTGTGAATATTTCCTTTGGAATCAAAGAAAGCGGTTAGCAGTGTCTTTACTCGACCCTTTTGCATGCGCACTTTCTTTGGTTTCGGCTTCTTTGGGCTCAACCACACTGCACTCTGCCGCTTTGTGAGAGGCTCACATTGAAAACACCATGTCTCATTACCAGTAACAATCAATTTCATAAATTTTGTATCACTTTAGGCCGACCATAACATGTCTTTGCAGTGTTCCACTCTGGCATGTCTTGCATTGCCTGACAGCACATGCAGTACAAACTGCGCACAGACTTTCCGTTTGCCCAGATCCTCGGTCAAAATTTGATGCACACTACTTTTTGGTATTCCCAAAAGCTCCTTGATGAGTCTTGCAAATATACATCTGTCTGATGCAAGGATTTCAGTCACTTCTTCATCTTCTTCTTTTTTTTTCTTCGGTGTGACTTGTTCTCGGCTTTGATGCACGTGGAGCATCTTCACTGTCCTCCCTGCCGTCACGAAATACAGCATACAATCAAAAAATGTTTGAGCAACTCAAACAATCACTACCATACACACATTTCATCATTTAGTATGCTTCTTCAGCTGTTTTGCCTAACTTCAAACAAAATTTGATGTTGGATCTCTGTTCAACCACCATTTTCTGATGAGCGTCAGAGCAATACTGTTACATTCAAGGTCAGAACACATGATGCAGCGATGCTTGCACTTTGAAATTATAGACAGCCACAGCTGAAACTTCAAGAATCTTAACGCCACAACTCGCCAACAGATGGCATTGCAAGGCAAAAATTAAAAAAATGAATCTTAACAGATCCTGGACACACCGTGTATGTATTTCATGGCCACCTATCACATTTGCTTCTATCTGATGACCCTAATAATATCTGGTGAACAGCACTCATACCTCGTATGTCCAAATATTCTGCTTGGCACCCTATTCTAAAACACCTTCAACGTATTTCCTACATGTGGGTAAGTACGTTAACTGTGAAGAAAGCAGTCTTCTGGGATTTTGCACCGTGTATATGTGATGTGCCAAATCCCAGAAGACTGCTTTCTTCATAGTCACCGCCGTGAAAGCCTCAAATCTTACAAGTATGTTAACTACCGTATCACTTCAAATATAAGAAGCATCTAATTTTTAAACGTGTGTTTTAGGAAAAAATTAGAGAGATATATTTATTCCAATGAGTTTATTTAGAACACATAAATTAAAATAACAAAATATTTAAGAATACATTTAACACATCAAGTGTTTGTAATTGACTTGTCATGCCACTAGGAATTATTACTAGATCAGTGTTTGGGTTCCTTAACCTGTTTCTTATTGTGTTGGAGAGATGGCCATGAAATGCATCCATTGCAAGCACACTCTGTGGCGTTGATAACGGATCAGGCTGATGTTCCCATACACATCCAAGCCAGTCTTCCATTAACTCCAGTGTCATCCATGCATATTTTGGGCCCAAACTATTACATCTTTGAAAAAAAAAATTCTTTTGGCACTGTCTTTGTTTTCAATAGTATGTATGGTGGCAATTTATTTGCCATTTGCATTCATATACAGCACGACAGTAATATGTTAACTTTTTAAATTTACGATATTATTGTGATGCATGTAAAAATATTGCAGTTTATTCTCCATTGCCAATTTGACTTAAAGAATACTTTTCCCCTCCGTGCAGTCCAATAACAAAACACTGAAATTCAATCAGTTTAGTTTCAAATTCCAAAGGAAGGTTCAGATTAATTTTTGTCCTTCATCGTAATGATAAGCTTTCTCTCTTCATAAATTTTCATGTCATCCACAACTAGCCTGGGAAAGTACATTCCTGTTTCCAGCACACTTTTTTGCTTCTGATATCAAGGCTTCCCTAGTCACAAAAAATCTTTTACTTCCTAAATCTTTGAAATAATAAAAAACAGACACATAAATCCCAGGATTTCTCCCTTTCCTTGGTCCAGAAAAAGATTTTCTATTTGTCAGACATGAAAACAGTTTTGTTTTTATGCTTCGCCAATGATGCACACATGCCTCACTTAACTGTATACTTTCTATCAGCTGCACAACTACCTATCTTTTCAGCACACAGTATAAATTTCTTTTGAATGTGGCATCATATGTAAAATGCTTTTCCATGGGTAGAAACTGATAGAAAACTGAACACACCTGAACAATAAGACTGTCAGGCAATGAATGAACTAAAAGTTGGGGGCTGACTTAGTTAAAGGTGGGGCCATGCCATAGCTCAATTGGTTAGTCGCTGACTTCCCACCGCGGCAGCCCGGGTTCAATCCCAGGTCTGGTCAAGTGGGATTTGTGGTGGACAAAGTGGTGCTGGGGCAGGTTTTCTCCAAGTACTTCTGTTTCCCCTGCCAATCTTCATTCCACCAATTGCTCCACAATCACCCTCACCTATCATCTGGAGCTGGTACAATAGGCCAGAAGTGGCCGCAGTACAAGGGACTTTTTTTTTATTGCTAGTGGGGTTGCCAACCATTATGATTCATTTGGAGTGGGCAGTTTGCATACTAGCGCACAAAGCAAAAGTTATCTTAAAGTTCTCAAAATTTCAGAGAAAAGCCTCCATTCACACCAGGATTGAGATTTCTTCCTCCATCGAATCCCAAAACTTCAAAGCTTGCACACTGCTAGTATATTTCAGTTGTGTGCTTCCAGGTTGACATTGCATTATAACCCACATAACTACAATCTACATTTTCACTGTCATTAAGACTTCATATCTCATATTGTTAAATTAGTAAATCACATGAAAGTGACTAAAGGACAACAGACAATATGTAAATCATTTTCTAACTCCCAACTGATTTCAGTGACCTTTCTTCTAGTGCCTAACCTTCATTATCGTAGGAACCTGCAACTGACCGAGATATGTAGCCAGGTACAATAGAGATCATGGCTGCAGCAACCAGACCCGATGCAGAGTCCTGAAACGGAAACGTATAAAACAACTAATCAATCACTTAAAAATAGCACACACAATTTAAAAACACAGTGCAACTTTGATATAAAAAGAATCTATAAAACTTGTATAAATGCTTGATATAACAAGTGATCATAATATTCAGAAATGTGTGAACAAAATATTCAAATCCAAATTCTATTTAAATGATGTTAAAATGTAAAAAGAAAAAATGTTCACCACAGTATTTGTACTTATTGATGCATTTGCAACAGAAACTTGTGAAAATGTCCAGATCAGCCTTGCTGTGTTTACTATATTATATTTAAGCACCCTGTTACATTCCACACTTCTATACGTACAATATAAACTCCGTCATAAATGCAACACTTTATTGTAGTTCTTGTCCCCCTTCTTTCACACCACATGTTTCGGCCGTAACCGGCCATCATCAGGTGTATTTTACTTCACGTAGCTGTTAATACTGAGTGCAGTGTGACAGCTACGTGAAGTAAAATACACCTGATGATGGCCGTTTGCGGCCGAACCATGTAGTGTGAAAGAACGGGGACAAGAACTATAATAAAGTGTTGCATTTACGACGAAGTTTGTATTGTCATGTTTGTCTGTCCATGTGCGTGTCTGCCTGTAATAAATCAAGAACTGCTATACAGATTTTCATGAAATGTGATATTTTGGAATTTTATTAATATGTGCCAACATATTAATACTTTCATATAAATCTGAAAATAATATGGGACACTATCAAAATGCATTTGCATGTGCATCTTGAGAAAAAATCGTGTGAACTTGCTAAATATTTATTAGAACAAACTGTTTTGAACAAAGTTATATATAAATATGAAATCCATATTTCATGTCCAATCCCATAAGTTGTATGGTTTTCAGTATAAAAAAGTAAAAAAAAAGTAAAGCTATCCCTGTACCAGGCCGTGAAGGCCCATAGGGTTGTGAGACATTGAGGGTCCCACATTATCTAGACAATCGGCTCAAAGATGGCGGTAAGGTTGTCAGCCTTATGCGCCGACCGCGCTTTACTCCCCAGGAAAATTATTTAATTAATTTCTGGTACTCATTTCTGTTAGAGGCTGAGTAAACCCCAGGGCTTAGTGCGGCTGGATTAGGTCAACCGAAAAAAAGCCAATGACCTCGTCAGGACTTGAACCCGCGACCTTCCGGCTTGTAGCATAGCCCCTCAACCAACTACGCTACCGCATGCCCTCAGGGTTTTCAGTATATTGAAACAAAATAGATCTACCTTCTTTAGATTTTGTTTATCTACAGGCAATAATAGAGCGAATGCACCAGAACTGTTACGGTATCCAAACATTTCTTAAGTTGCCTGAAGTGGTTATCACAAAGACATGAAGGTAAGGAATAATAACTTCACAGTCCTTATACCTTTACTATTATCTGAAGCAATAAGCTGGAGCTTTCCTCATGCTTACATATTCTCTTGTTCTTTTAATCACTGGCTGGTGTTTTTCAATTATGTATTAAAAAAGGCTCTGCATGCTAAACATTTCTGGCTCAGAGTGGCAAAACCCTGTGCTAAGACACAATTCTCAGATTTTGGAATGCAGTCTCCTCTGTATCAAACAAAAAGCAGAGGCATAAAGTGCAGTTCAATGACACCTATATGGACCACTACCCATAAATAGCTTGAGAAGCAAATCTGCAATTACAGTTCATGCAAATAGCCGTCAAGAAAAATTTCAGCTGGCTAGGAATTGGCCTTTATGCTGAAAGTGCTGAAAAAATGGCCTCAGTTTACAAGAGATTTTTCCATGTAACATTATACATAGTGATGGTGATAATGGTTTTTTCTAAAAATAATAAAATTCTTGTTATAAGCCACAATTGTTATATCACAGTTCCATTGCAGCGTATACTAAAATATAAATAATTGTTATCAGGTAAATATGAACCATATACACATAAAATATGGCAACTGACAATTGTTCATTTAAACAAATGTGCACACAGATATTGTATATAATCATCACAGAAGGATGGGTGTGAGATGAGGGTCCATTAATTGCCACTCAAAGTTTTAAGTGGATGGATGGATGAAGGTTATAGATTAATCAGATAACCAAATGTTAAAAAAAGTATTACACTCTAGGATGTGATACCTAGCAGTCCAGTACCAACTGATGTTTCCGAGGACTTAAACCTGATTACACCAAGAATATAGTACTCTCCACAGTCTGCTCTGAGAACCTCAAATCCAACAAGCGTAAAATAGCTTGAAGACTAGCGGTAACTGACATGGACAGATAATCTTTGAGTTTGTACATGACATAAGACTAATAACAGATGCATAACATTTTAATCCTACCTACATCTGCCTAATGGAATATTTGATATTCTGTATTTCAGCATCCTGTTGCAATCGTTTAACTTAACATCCATGTATTTATCATCTGTCAATATTGCAACACTTGTTTATTCACCACTTGATCTTTATTTTAGTTTAACATTTTACACTGTGAAACAACACGTTTCAGCCCCAAACGGCCATCTTCAGGTGTCTTGATATGTTACAAATATTTTATCAAATTATGTTAATGAATATTTGACCTTCATAATCCCCATATACAGAATGTTCAGCTGAGATAGAATCATGCTGTAATTCACTGAGTGACCACAGAGAAAACAGCACAGAGATTTTCCCTGACCAAGATACTGATTCTCTACTTTAGCAGAACTTCATTATTGCCATGAGAAGGCAACATGAACTTCACACATTTGTTACAGTTGCTGGAACTGAACCCCTTCTGCCTTAAAGTATGCCTTGCAGCATACAATGTTCTGCAACACATTCTACGTCTCTAAATTGCTTCAATATACCACCCACATACCAATCTGAATTCACAGATGGCTGAAAAGCCTTCAGGTCAATAACTTTTTGTGCACTTATAGCACACCAAATCACTAATTCTTTGCTGTGCAATGACACTGACTGAATGGTATGACAATTTCCTTCATTCCATATTCATACATTCTGCATATTCAAATGACTGCTTACGAGTATAACAACAGCTACAGATGCAAGACACCATCATGTACATTTTGCAGCAAAGTGAACTCATGCTGCATAACTGCCTTGCTTAAGCTCATGCACATGCACTATATTATATGGGAGAAACATAATCAGTCTTGAGGCCATGATCACAGATCCCAGCAAAACACTGGCTTACCGCACCAAGTCCCTTAGCAGTTTTCAAGAACTGATCCCTACCATGACTTTTTTTTTCACTCAGCACACTGTTCTTAAATCAGGGCTTGAGGTGGGGTGGGACGTGGCAGGATGGCATCCTGGTTCTTTTCTAAATGGTTTAAAAGCATCCCGTTACTTCTTTGGCAGTAAATGCAATGTACAATACCTTTTTTGGAAAATATTCTAAAGATGAGTACTTGTAATGCATGCGTGACTTTATTTTAACGCATGCCATTTAAACTACTGTAATATGTTCGTAGGTCTTAGATGGAACACAGACTATATACATCACTCGGTATATTTTCATAATTTATGTCTATGAATTAAAAGGGGAAAACCATCCAGGTTCTATTTTCATTCCACCTCAAGCACTGTCTTAAATTGCTTACTTTTGTCACAAACTGAATCACTGGTCCACACTTTTTGACAAGTTTCAAAATGTTCTTTAAGTATTCTTTCTTCCGTAAAATAAAAGTAAAGTTGTCCACTGCTTAAATATTATTCCATGAAGATGTATGGGTAATTAGAAGCACAATTCCGTGCATTCTTGCCCTCAGGCACTAGCTGGAGATTAGTTATCAACACACTCTAGCCACTTCCCCCAGGCGAAAGAGTCCGTGATATACTATGAATGAGGCTAAGTAGGCCCCTGAGTGTGTCTGAATGCTGTGGAGGAGAGATGATTCTCGTGCACTGAGTCCTCAGCTGTCCAGATCATAACACCTGATGTTGAAATGTATACTGAATTGCAAAAGTAATGGAATTCAGATCTGAAGACAAAAATCTGAGCAAGCAAAACCTTTAATCACAAATCTACTGATCACACTCTATACTGCGGGACTGATTCGCCATCACAGCAGAGTTATACAGCAACAGCCAGCCAAAATGTATGCTGTAATCACTGTGTTACTATGTACTTACCCTCACTTAAGCTCTGTAAATCAGATGGATCATACTTCTTTGTCGACTTTCAATTTATTAAATCAATATTAATCCTCTGAAGGCCTGTTATTAATTATAATTATGTCAGACATTTTTAGTTAAATTTAAAATTATACAGCATTTTGGAAACTGGATCTGCCTCTGTTATCACATATAACGAAAAAGGAAAGGACCCCATTATATTTGGCCCAAAATACTGAGATACTCTCAATCATGGGCAACAAAGGAACTTCTAGGCAGCATGTATCAGATATGCGAGATGGAAATATAAGTGAAAATAACAATTTATAATCAAAGAATTACTTCATGTCTTTTAGCAAGGGGAGCCATATGATGCTGACCTCCATGTGCAGCTGGCTGATCACCTATTTTCCTGTTCTGCTGAGGACTGCATATTTGGGTTTTCTGCTTGTCCCATTTTCTTCTTTGTGCAATATTTCTGTCTTATCCTGTTATATCATGTGGTCTTCATCCCAGGAGTGTTCTACTTTTGAGTTTGTTATGTCTCTCATTTCTGTTCTGGTGTTCAGTAGTCTGCCTCTCTCTCTCTCTCTCTCTCTCTCTCTACGTACCTATCTCTGCAGTCACATAAGATCTGCATACAATATTTTGGACTTTTGCATCTTATTTTCAGGTTTAGTTCCTGTAATTTTATAATTAAATCAATACTGCTGCCTCTAAAGACAATTTTTGCATGTAGTGTGAAACATACCAATCCCATAACAATGTACGTTCACAACTGCTACTCTGGGAATTCAAAAGAGGATCCTTCTTTCTTTCTTTCTTTCTTTCTTTCTTTCTTTCTTTCTTTCTTCGAATCACATAAAAATGTGAATCATGCATAAATGTATAGAGTGGCCACAGTTTATTCACCATATTTCAAGTTCACACAAAAGAGATTATACAAGATACAGAGAACTGGTATGCTTTACTTGCAAGAACAACGCATCAAGTTCAACACATCTCAATGTGAGTGCCATGTGTAGCTCGCACAATGTCCAAACAGTACTCGATTTCATGCCATGTGTCTTCCAGCATCTGGGGTGTCACAGAAGAAACTGCACTATTCATTTTTCCATAAAGTCGAAACATACTACAAACTTCTGGTTGGAATACCTAGTCCTTCACATACTCCCAAAAGAAAAAATCCAGCCATGTTATATTGGGGGTGGGGGAGGGCAAGTGATTGATGTGTCCTGCCCAATCCATCTGTTTGAAAACTTGTAGTCAGAGACTCTCTCACTGTTAAGGCCTCAGCGTGGAGGTGTATCATCTTGCTGAAAGAAAATGTTTGGTTGAAGGCGTACTGCCTGTGGGCTGTGCTGAAAGCCTTCAAGAACCATCTCAACTGTGTCAGCATCTACTGAAGGCCTACCTGCACTCTTCTTATGCAGAACAGTGCCTATTTCCTGAAAATGTTCCAACCATCACTTGATGGCCCGTCTTCCAGTGACTTGCTCTCCATGAGCTAGACAGTAACATTTCTGCACTTGAATAACTGGTTCTGTCTCCCAGTACCACAACAAAGACACTGCCTTTTGTTGGGGAGAAACTGAAATTTTGCGTTCATCACCTGTGTATGTTCAGCAGCAATACTATCGGCCAGGCAATTAACACAAAAATTTTTCAGCAGTTCTTTCAAACAATGCAATCTGTTTCTTGATATCTCTATAACTATGTCATATATGTATGAGTAAGTTTCAAATGTGATGAATAATTTTATGGCCACCTTGTATTTCTCAGTGAAGGTGCTACACAAACACTAATGCTTTTGTATCACAAATCACAAGCAATTCAAATTTTAAACACTTTAAGAATTTTGCTTCAGTTTGAGTTTCATTTTGAAGGCTGAAAAAAAAAGTTAATTTTTCTGGGGAGTAAAGCGCAGCCGGAGCGTAACACTGACAACCTTACTGCCATCTTTGAGCCAACTGTCTAGATAATGTGGGACCCTTAACGTCTCACAACCCTATGGGCCTTCACGGCCCATTACAGGGATGGCTTCACTTTACTTTACTTACTTTTACTGGTTACTGTCCATCTACAAAGTTGGAACACAAAATAAACTCTGACAAGGAACAGTTTTGTGAAATTTCATACTGCTGCACTGTATTCAGAAATTTTAATCTTGGTTCCTACTGGACAAAATGGACATCACCTTCCATGAGCCCCATACTTTGATCCAGGGCAGAGTTCACGCTACATTTTGGCACAGTTTCCTTTGGATTTGTTATCCACTCCACTTACTATTTTTTTTTTCTGTGGCGCTACAGCCCCAATTTGGGCCTAGGCCTACCTCCATGAAACTCTCCGTTTCACTTCGGTTTACTAGATCTTACACATTCGGTAGGACTCCTTGGGCGAGTGATCAGCTTGTCGCAAGGCCTCTACCTGTAGACAAACACAGAAAAATGCACACAAACATCCATGCCCTGAGTGGGATTCGAACCCACGATCCCGGGTTCCGAGTGAGCAAAGACAGTGCATGCCTTAGACCGCTCGGCTACCATGACCGGCCTCCACTTACTATACCAGACCTAAACTCTGCAACATGTATTATGAATAAATCATGGAGAATTTAATTCTTCATTCTAATAATTATTAACTCAATTATATTCACTCCATGCAAATAGGTACTTTATGCAGCACCGCAAATAAAAAAACTGTCCCTCTCACAATACAATTCATGAAAATAAAATAAAATAAAAATGGAAGCAATAACAGGATCATACCACAGACAAAATCAACTAATGAGGGATATTATTTTCCCAGTTGCCTGAGTTTTCAGGAAGTCACATCCACATTCATGGACTGCAAAACTGGCATAAGAACTTGATAATCATGCACGAAATCATTACAGTTCCTAAGACTACTATTCTCTGGGATATAATGCCGCATAGTCTGCTGAAAATCAACTGATGTTTCAGAGGAACATATCATCTGGCGGGAGTAACTATGACCCATTAAGGTCATATGTTACAGGTAGCACTGACGCCATCCTCAATGAGGTTGACCGAACTATGGCTATCTCTCTGGTGGGGGCACATCATGGACCAGAGGGTGCGTCAGGACACCTAGTGGTCCTGTTTGGTAACGTCAATTTTGGGGTCTGGATCAGTATGACAATCCAGGACTGCTGGTTAAGCTCCCATAAGGGCAATGACATCTTATAAGTCCAGCCTCCCACACACAGGCATTATGACTCTCGGGTATTACTATGATTTGCCCGGGAAAAATGCGGGAGAGCACTTGTATGCAGGTACCTCCAGCTACTTCAGTTGTCCCCCTAGAGTGTTGATAAGGTGCTGCAAGCCTTCAGGCTCAACATTCTAAAATGGTTTAACCAACACATGTGGAGGAGTGGGACTGTGGGGTGGCTTGCCACCTTCAGAGGCGATCCTTTCATGTGGCTTACTCTGGTAGTAACCACATAGCTAGCTAGTATCGCACTCCCAATGGCCATCTGGGATACCCCCCTCCCCCCAAACATGAACTTTAGGTCCTGAAAGCTAGTGAGGGTTTATTCTCAACAGGACCAAACCACCTAAGCCAAGGTGTGAGGCATTGTTCCGAGGGCTGCCTGGCACGTGTGGAATTTTGCCAGTGTCATGTAGAATCCCTTTGGGGCACCAGATAGCACCCTATTGTATTTATACCTTCCACCTGTATGGGGCGCTGCAGGTGGTAACCTCTTAAATCCCAATTGCTTGTGGGACCACTATGGAAACAAAAATGAAAAGAAAAAAAAACTGGTTCTCATGACCTAAAAGGGAAGAGGGACTCCCTTTCAAGGAGATCCCTATGAGAAATACTTCAGCAGGAGGCTAAAAGCTCTAGTGCACTGTTTAGGGGCCCAGCTGCAACCAGTGAACCTGGTGTTGAGATTTCAGCCAAAGACAGGGACAAACCAGTGGTGATAAACCTGCCTGAGGTTAAACCAAGGACTCCTCTCATGGGAGTCACTAGTTCTGACATACCACTGCAGGAAGCTAGCAGTTCTAGCACACATACAGCAAGAGAAGATCTGGGACACCTAGTTTCTGGAGTAGGTGGACTCCGCCTGGCGAAGAAGACTTTGTCTGGTTCCACTAGACAGAAACTGAAAAAGGCAAGACCAAGGGCAAGCAAAGCAAGAACTAGAGGCACTGAGCAACCAGGAAATGTAGGCGCACCCAAGCAGGGAGAAACCTTGACCAAAACCCTTAAAAGGCCAAGGTTGGAGGGCAGTACCCCTATGGAAACAGACAGACATCAAAAAAGGCCCAGGAATTCCAATGGACTAGAGTTCTTCTTCTGATAGAACCTTAACTGATACAATACAACAGGCTGCTGAAAGGCATGGTATTGAGCCCACAATATGCAGATGGATCTGTGCTATGCTGGAAAGCAGGAATATAAGTGCAGAAGAACAATGGATCTGCTGAAGTTAAACAGAGACCAATTAAGATGGGTGGTAGGACTATTTACAGGACACTGTCACCTTAAAGGACACCTTTTCAAACTGGGATTGACAGATGACCCCCTTGAGAAAGGTGCCTAGAAGAAGATTAATCAGCCACACATGTCCTATGTGATTCTGAGGCCACAGCTTATCATAACCTTGGCCAGTTCTTTTTGGAACCAAGTGACTACTATGACACACCCATAAACAAAAGTCCTACATCTCATATATAGTGTAGGATTAAGAAAGGGTTAACCAAAGGGGAAGAACAACAGATCATTGATGGTCGTGGTGCAAGGGCCGGATTATTATGCCCACCCCCCATTCATTCATTCATTCATTCATTCATACATACATACATACATACATACATACATACATACAACATATTGCCTCCATCTTCAGGGTCAAGAGCAAGCCAAGCAAGATACCAAAATGAAAGCATGTGACAAGCTCTGCTGCTTTCCTTCTGGTATCTTGCTCAGCTTACTCTTTGGCCCTGAAGATGGAAGCAATAAGTTCCTCTGAAACATCAGCTGACTTTTAACACACCACATGGAGTTATATCCCAGAAGATAGTACTCCTCATAAGGGTACAGAGTAGTGTAGTTGGTTGAGGCACTATGCTACAAGCCGGAAGGTTGCAGGATCAAAACCCAATGAGGTGGACTTTTTCAATTTACCTAATCCTTCCAGCCGCACTATGGTCCTGGGACTTTACTCAGCCTCTAATAGAAATGGGTACTAGGAATATTCCTGGTGGTAAAGGGAGGCCAGCATGTCAGGCTGACAACCTCACTTCCATCTGTGAACCAATTGTCTAGAAAATGTGGGAGCCTCTCGCAACCCTATGGGCCTCCATGGCCTGTTACAGGAACACCTTTACCTTTAGCAGTCCTCATAACCACAGCTGTGAGAACCTCAAATACTACACAGTACGGTTACAGTTTGCCCTATGGTTGTTACTTGAGGGAGGGGGGGATATGACATGAGATGGGAAAATTGAAGTTTTCATGGAGTAACTGTGCAAAGTACTTCTGGGATGTGATGCTATGTAGCCAGCAGGAGTTTACCAATGTTTTAGAGGAACATTCAGCAATTTCAGGGTAAAAGAGAATAAGCCAAGCAAACAAACAAGCTTACTCTTTGCCTCTACAGATGGAAGCAGTATGTCCCTGTGAAATGTCACTGAATTTCTACCTGACTACACAGCATCACATAATAAGGTATTACTCCCAACGAAATAAGATCCTGAAAGTTAACCTTGTTAAGTGTCTGTCCTTACCCGCAATTCCTTTGTGAGAAGGTACGTAACGATGGTGGTGAGACTGGAGAAGAAGGGAGCCAGGAACACACACACATTTCTGATGTCTATTGTCACATTCACAAGCCAAGCAATGTGGTACAACACGGCTGACGTCACCATAAGTCCAGGGTAAATTGTACCTAATTGCATACAGTTACTGACATTAATTTCCCCCCCCAAAAAAGATTACAACACTTAGATGCACATTCATTTAACTACTATATGCAGTAATTAAGTCATTAAACACTCATTATATACCAAACCAGTAGATTAACTTTGTTAAAAGTTAAAATTGCTAACATCTATGAACAGGGGATTTTAAATCTCCTGCTACTAAGCTTACAGAGCTGGTAACCACATTTTAACACAGTAGCATGTATTAGTACTTAAATAATGCAATGCTTCGTCAGCTGCGCTGTGCAGGTGAACTACTGTAATAGTCCAATGCAGGGCTAGTAGAGGTTTACATAATCCACATATTATAATATTCTGCATTCTTTATCTACTCTGAACTGTAAAGATATTGTCTATGCATGATATTCCCATTCTGAAACCCATCTGTTCTACTAAAATGATTACATAAATATGATGAATTCCCGTACATCTTATTAAATTAATTAGATGCATTTATATTTACATTAATTAATTTATATTACATGTATTTATATCAGGAGCTTTTAGCTCTCTCTGGAAACAAAGATGAACTAAAACCAGTAAGGATACATCAGAATCCAATACATAAAAAACCTTAATGCAGTGTTTTTTGATCTTCGTTCTCTATAACCCATCTCGGGCAAACATTTTCTTGCAAATGTCTGTGAACCCCTCTTCTCAAAAGAGGTTACATTTGTTTTTTTGATATGCGGTAGTATAGTTGGTTCAGGCACTATGCTACAAGCTGGAAGGTTGTGGGATCGAATCCCAATGAGATCATTGGATTTTTTTCAAATTATCTAATCCTTCCAGCCGCACTATGACCCTGGGGGTTGACTCAGCCTCTAACAGAAATGAGTACCAGGAATATTCTTGGGGGTAAAGGGTGGCCGGCATGTAGGGCTGACAACCTTACCACAATCTGTTAGCCGATTGTCTAGAAAATGTGGAAACCTCAACATCTCACAACCCTATGGGCCTCCAAGGCCTGATACAGGGATACCTTTACTTTGTTTTTTACTTTATATATCCCTAAGCTGTCATATTTTTTTATTTTACAAAACACATTTTGCAACCCCCACATGACTCCTTGGGGGTCAGAGCCCATTTCAGAACCACTTCATAAGATCCTCAACATGGGTCTTCATCAGGTGTTTTAAGTCATTACTGGGTATTCAAACACTATGTATTACAAACGATCACTGAACCCCATTTGCATTAACCAAAGGTACTTGGAGGTTCATACTCAACTTATTAACTGCATAGATTGATTTCCTGAACATTAATATGCTGAAGATCTGAAGCTTTCAAGGCAAACAAAATGGGCCAAAATCTCCTCAGGCAATCAGCCATGTCAACTGGAAAGGCTGATCACCCAAGATGATTTTAGCAGATTCATGCAAGGGCTATTTTGAAAGTAATTTCTGTTTATTTTATGCAACTAATATAGGAACAGGGGAGAGTTCATACATGAGAGGTAGCATCACAAAACTCACTGCTTTGTAAACCATCACATAACTGCCCACCTAGTGTTTGTTCTTGTCTCTACAGAGTGAGTTATGATGTGTCCTGTGAAAAATTTGCACTGTTATCTGCTTTCTTCATGCTAAAAACATGAGTGCTGTGGAAATTTATCATGAATTATGTGCGGTTTACTGCAAAAATATGAGTGAATGAACTGTAAGACAATGGCAGAGAATGTTCAAAGATGGGTGACCAAATGTTCATGATGAAGAGCAAATGGTCAGCCATCTGTGATGACTGATGATCTTGGTGAAAGTGTTAACCAAAAGAGTTATGAAAGACAGCACTTCACAATTTTAGAACTTTCATGTGAATTTCCACAAAGTTCATACAATGTTCTCTACAAGATTATCATAGTTAGGCTAGGCTATCACAAGTTTTGCATAAGATGGTTTCTGAAAATGCTCATGGGTGTGGACAAAATGCAGAGAATGGCTTCAGCTTTGACTTATTTAGAGCGGTACCACAAAGATGGAGATGAATTTCTCAATCACATCATATGAGTAACAGGTGATGAAACCTGGGATTCTTTTGTGAATGTTAAAACCAAAGAGTAGTCAAATCAGTGGATGCAGAAACATTCGCCAAACAAGCCAAAAACATTAAAACAAATGTCTGCCAGAAAGCTGATGACAACTGCTTTCTGGACAGGAAAGGTGCACTGATGGTGGAATTCATGCAACAAGGGACTACAATATCTTCACAAGTGTATTGCAAAACGCTAAAAAAAAAATTGGACAGGGCTACTGAGAGCACAAGGCATGGAATGCTGACATCCAGTGTAATGCTCCTCCATGACAATATGTGTCTGCAGACAGCTGCTCGTACTTGAACACTGCTGGAGCATTTCAACTGGGAGTTGCTTGACCACCCTCCTTACAGCCCTGATCTCGCTACGAGTGATTACTACCTGTTTATTCATACCTACTTGAAGAAATGGACAGGATCACAGAGCTTCAACAATAATGAGGAGTTGATGGATGGTGTCAAAACGTGGCTGAGCTCAGATGGAAGACATCTTTGACACAGGCATGTAAAAAAAGTAAAGGGATCCCTCTAACAGGCCATGGAGGCCCATAGGGTTGTGAAATGGTGAGGTTCCCACATTTTCTAGACAATCGGCTCATAGATGGTGGCAAGGCTGTCAGCCCTACATGCCGACCACCCTTTACCCCCAATACCCCCAAGAATATTCCTGGTACTCATTTCTGTTAGAGGCTGAGTCAACCCCAGGGCAATTCGCTTAGTGGAGGGTGTAGTCCAACTGGGTCCACTCAGCACGGCGGCCACTGATTGGTCTATTGCAGCCTGCCCCGGGTGATTATGATAATGGAAAATTTGGTGGAATGAAGATTGGTAGGGGAAACCAAAGTACTCAGAGAAAACCCGCCCCCAGCGCCACTTTGTCCACCACAAATCCCAGTTGACCAGACCCGGAATCGAACCTGGGCTGCCGCGGTTCGAAGGCAGCGACTAACCACTTGAGCAATGGCGCGGCCAACCCCAGGGTCATAGGGGGGCTGGAAGGATTAGGTCAATTTAAACAATCCAAAGACCTCATCGGGACTTCAACCCGCGACCTTCCGGCCTGTAGCATAGTGCCTCAACCAACTACACTACTGCATGCCCCTCTTTGACACAGACATACAAATCTTACTCCCCAATACGAGCTTCAACAATACTGAGGAGTTGATGGATGGTGTCAATACATGGCTGAGCTCACAGATGGCAGACATCTTTGACACAGGCATACAAAGCTTATTCCTTGATACAACAAATGTCTCAGTTCTGGCTGTGAGTATGTTGAGAAGTAGTTTAAGTATGCATGTATGTTTTGCATATAATCAAATTCTTTCTTTCACCATTTTGTTAACATCTAACTGGAGGTTACCTTCCAAATAACTCTCATATGTTTAACCGCCTTACCACATATAGTGTTTGAACAACCTGACAATGCTCCTACTGGGGTTGAAAACTGTAGCCTGACAAGATACCCAAAAAGGACATAACACATAGTACAGATGGTTTATTGAAAATAAATTGTATACTGAGTGTCAAATACAAAAGGATGCCACAATTCAAGATGAATTATAAAATGACCAACAGACATTTTGCACCCTAACAAAGACAGAAAAATGAACTGCATGTCAGACAACATTAATGCCTGATGCATGGGAGAGGTATAAAAAACATGAACATAATTTGTGTTTTTCACAACTGTTGTATATGTCTAAAGTAAGGTGTTGACTGCAAAGACACACTTCCCAGCCAACCCCTTATATCAGACATGTACATTAGGCTGTCAAACTACTGAGACAGTCCCAGAGGTCAAATGTCAGTAGAGAATGCATAAACAATGATCAACAATGTGAACATCCAAAATTTTCTAGAACCCATGTAAATGTCATGTGAATTCCAACTGAAATGAGTGCCAAATAAGCAGTGAGGTGTTTGAACATGTAAAAGGAAAAGAAACAATAGATCTTAATCAACAATTGAAACAAGAGCGCTTTGTATGAAAATAGTTTTAAAAATTTTGAAAATTATCAAAACGTCATATGAAGAATAACTTTGTTTCAGTCTTCTTCACATTCACTTTTAAAGAGTCCCAATGATAGCGTGTAACTCTTTGAATTACTGAGCTTTTGGACTCTTTCCATTATCATGGATCTGTGGGGTTTTTGTCTGTGTCATTACTTCAATGATAACCCACTTCTTCGGAACAGTTGTAGGTCCTGAAAAGGACCGTTGGTTGCTGAGATGCTTGACTGGTGGAGTAGCGCGGCACGCGCCGGTAGGAAGGGATGTTGGTTGCGGTGTGTGGACTGGCTGCAGTGCAGCAGATGGTGGAGGTTGCTTGATCGCAGCGCGGCAGCTGCTGGTGAAAGTCTGGTCGTCGAGCGCGGTCGCTGGAGCGGAGAGGCGGTAGCTACGCCAGTTGCCCAGCGTGTCGGACATGACTACCCGCGAATCGAGGCGGCCTAGTTGCCCAGTGAGTTGGGTGTGACCACCAGACAGCTGTGGCAGTCTTGCCTGGCGCAGCGAAGCGCCGATGCCTCCGTAGACTGAACGCTGGCAACGAAGTGTGCTGATTGCTTGTAGACTGCTTGAAGACTGCTGATGCACTGATCAAGAACTGACTGAGAAATGACTGTTGTTTGACTTGCGAGCGTTGTGCTCCGCATTTTATACAATGCTTGGTGGGCAGAGCGAAACTTGCAATTGAGGAGCAACAATTTGCAGAGCGCTGATTGGCTAGCGAAAATTAAGAGCGGAAATTTGCAGTGCGTGCTGGTATAAATATGAATGAGACGTCCAGCAATGCGATATTCACTAAGGAGTGAGTGTTGTCTGAAAGACTGGTTGAAACAGCGTGCTATGTGGGATGCCCCCACAGATCTGTTTCCATCCTCAGGCGAAAGGATGAGATGGTCCATTACAAAGAGGTAACCTCAGTCACTCACTCACTGGCTGAGTTTAGCTTTTTGTAACATACCAAACAGAGTGGTGCCTCACACTCTTTCACCTGAAGATGGAAACAGTTTCTGAAATACTGTATTCTTTAAAATACAAGACAATGGACAAAGTCAAAAAACTCAGTAACCAAGAGACTTCTTCAAAGAGTTTAAAACAACTCAAACGTCATCAAACATGATATCACAATGACAAAACTTGAATTTCTCAGTACAACCCACAGATCAAGCATAATATTCATTTGTGTAGATCTAACGCATCACGTGCCAAGAAGATATACCCTGAATTCGAATGTGAGGAAACCGGTGATTTCCTGTTTGACTTAGGATATGTTCCTGAGGGTCAGAATGTAAACCAAATATTCTGTAAGACTTGTTCAAATGAAACCCATTTGGTGAATGTTCTGGGCAAATAAGTACAGGATAGTAAAAACGGTCCCCATGAACACAGGCAGGCAACCCACAGATGCATAAGCCAATGGAATTCATCCATAAAGAACTCCCTAGGCAGCTGCCCAAACCACAGTACCACCTAACCTGAATCTATGAACAAGTTAAATATGAACAGTCCTCTTATCTGTTCAACATCTGACAGTGGCACTTGGCAGAAAAAAACTAAATCTCTGGCTAGATTACTGTGGTCCTTCACACCTGCCACTGACTTCAAATACCATAATTCTTGAACACTGCAGGGTAACAGAATCACACACACACACAAATTTTAGATAACAAAAATGCTTAACATTACCTCCTATAATTCTCCCAAGAGGATACCATGCTCTGTCGTCAAACCAGTTGTGGAAACTGTAAAATCCTTCTTCTGCCAAGAACTTCGTTGTACGATAGTTGAAGTATGGATCAAATTCATGAATCACACTCTCAAATCTCAAAACAGAGAACAAACGTGTTGCAAATGCTGAAAAAATAAACACACAATTACATACAAAAGCACAAATACAGTACGAGTACAAAATTCAAATTTTATATTCAAGACATGACATGTGTAACTTAACAGCATGTGACCACGAACTCCTTAGCTCACAAAAGCAGACTATTCCTGATAACCACTACATCCACAAGCTTCTTAACACATTTCTTGGTGTATCGCACATGACATATTCAACCACAACTGACATAAAAATGGTTCGAAAAACTATCATACTCGCTCAAACATAGGCTGCCCTTGAATATATGCCACATCCCCATGACTAATGGTCTTGGAATGAAAAAAACGTTCATGACATTACATCACTTTTTACTTTTCAACATTATTTCTCACTTCTCTCCTTATAGAAAGGTAGGATGTGCATTTTTTTATTGCCAGTGGGGTGGGGCTAAGTCCCTTGTACTGCGGCCACTTCTGGCCTATCCTACCAGTCCTAGATAATAGGTGAGAGTGATTGTGGAGCAATTGGTGGAATGAAGATTGGCAGGGGAAACCGAAGTACACAAAATTAAAATCACTGACTGTAAAAAATTATGGTATCAGACATATGTCTAAATGCAACATCATCTTCATCAAGATAATTTTGGTGCTCACATCAAGACATTTTCATGGCTTGCACACAAATTAGAAAAGCTGCTCTACACTTCTCACAAGTATTTACTGTGTTTTGTTTCAAAATCCAAGGCTGAATAAATTTTGACACCATGCACTTGTTTTCCAATGGCCTTATTCTTATCTCTTTCCATTTAAATGCTGCACATCAAAACATATATGTAACCTATAACAGAAATCACTTTTAACACTACTGAAACCACAAAGAATATTCAGAACTACTGCGTTCTTGGATGTTGTTCATTCTCCCATATTCTAAAAAAACTTCAGAGAATATAACATTTCAGAAACTGGATCTGTTTCCATCTTCAGGTGGAAGAGGGGAGATACCTACTCTTTTGGGCCCATTAGAAAGAGCTAGCCACAATCACTGACCAAGGTATCTCCCCCCATCCCCCACCTGAGAATGGAACAAATCCTGTTTCTGAAACGTTCTTCTTTTAGAATCTCAGTGGACAAAGTAAAAAAACAGTATTCTAAGTGTTATACACCATCATCATAATCCTTTAGAATTTACTCATGTAGAATATATCCATCTTTTCTGGGAACTGCTACATCTAATGCAAACTTAAATGAGCCCCCTTTAAACTTTACTTTGCTCTCTTAAAACCACCAAAATACAATTTTACATTGCACCAAAATGGTACACCTTACCCAATACCAACCACCCACCCTACCACAAGAATTTTATTTTGTAATCACTGAACCCTTACAAACTATCCTGCCTCGTATTTAGAGTGCTGACACTAATCAGATACCCAACTTAGCGTGTCCAAGAATTCTGAATGGTGCTTACCCATTTATGGAATGAAAAGAAAGGATAGCAACAGGCTGTGATGTAATGAGACATGGACCACTGAGAAATAAGTACAACACATTCCAGGCATGTTTCGTGACATAACTATACTCACAAAGAATTGCAGCAAGTGACAATATGCTTAACTTCAGGAGTGTCTCCTGCTTTTCTGGAGACATCCGCATCCTATGCGATTTCAATAACGTCCCCACCATATTTTCTGTGTTGAACTAGATGGCAGATATTGAATGCATAAATAAAAACTGAAACAAAATCGAGTTACCATTATTAACACAAAATGTAAAAAACAGACTGACTTTCCAGAAACAAATTATATTGTAAAATGTATTTCCACCAATATATTGGAGAATAAATTCTTTGGGGAAAACTTCAATTCCACCTAACTTCCAATTATACTGAATAAACTCGTAACTGGTACCGCTACTGTTATACTTCCATTTAGCCGCAACTCTGTTACATAGGTAAAAATATAATCACGCAAACCTAAAAAGTCACAACCGGCTCCAGCAGAACACACGCCGACAAACAGCGTGGCACAGCGCAACGTTGCCGTATGAAATCTGTCTGATAACCTAACTGGGGTGTGATCGGTGTGATCACGGTTTATAAATGAAACTGATTTGCAAACATGGATCACAATATAAGTAACCGAATAGTTTCGAGAGGCGCCATTTATTTTTAGAAAAAAAAACAGACTCTGCTATGCCGCATAGTAATAGATGATTCTGATGATTCTGATGCCGTTAGTTAAAATTCGCACACGTCGTTGTACACAATACAAATCCCCCACTCACCCTTACATGAGGTTTAATATATGTATCTCTAATGGAAACAGAATTTTCTTTCAAGTTTCCCCACCTTCAGCATTGTTAAATACAACTATTCCATGTATGTCACAGTTCACAATGTTCAGTGCCTTTGGTTACAGAGGTGTTTCATGTAAAAGAAAGGTTACGATTTTCCAGGCACTGGTGAGAAACTTTCTCCAGATAAATAATTTGCAACGTAATCTCTTGTACTCCAGAGCTGCAGAGGCTCTTATTCCGTTTTTTTTTTGGAAAGGGGATGGGGACCAAGTTTAACAGAAATTCACTCAAATCCAACCAAAAGGATATGGGTGAAGTGATATTGAACTTCCTTATAGAACTGAGCCCTTCTTGAGAAGCTGTCAATTGCGCACCCACTCAAGAATTTTCCAGCCTTTTGTAGAACCCGAAGGTTCATTACTGTGTTCACAAGAGTCCTCCACTGGTCCCTATCATGAGCCAGATCAGTCCAATCCATACCATACCATCTTATTTCACTAAGATACATTTTAATATTGTCCACCCACCTACACCTTGGTCTTCCCAGTAGTCTCTTTCCTTATGATTTTCCCACCAATATCCTATATGCATTCCTCGCCACCCCCATTCGTGCTACATGCCCTGCTAACCTCATCCTCCTCGACTAGGAATGCATATAGGATATTAGTGGGAAAGCCAGAAGGAAAGAGACTCTGCAGTACAAGAGATCTGGTTGTAAAAGTATTTACTGCTAGTAGCGAAAAAAGCTTTGAAAGGGTCAGAAGGGGGAGCACTCACAATAGTTCGTAAAGTTATTGACATGAGATTGTTGAAGTTGAATGTTAAATGAGGAGAACTGTTAAATTGAGGCCTGTTAAATGGAGATTCCATGGTATTCAGCACTGGGAATATTAAATCTCATAATATTTATGATTCTGTATTTCAGCATCACATTGCAATTGTTCAACTTAACATCAATTATTTATCATCCGTCATTATTACAACACTCTTCCATTCACCACTCAATTTTTAGTTTAACATTATACACCTTGACACTGCATGTTTCGGCCCCAAATTGCCATCTTCAGATGTCTTGATATGTTACAAATATTATATTAAACTGTGTTAAAACTGCTACACTGTCGAACTAAGACAGGTAGCATTTGATTTGATATTGTCACGTGTCTGTGACTAGACACAGGGTTTGGATTGGTAATTGGATTTATTGGACACTTATGCTAGTAACTAAAAATAACTACGACAGTCTCACTGAGTTACCCACTCCAAACATCACTGTAACCACAGCACACATAAAGTCTTCTCAGTCTTTACTAGCCGTTGCCTGGTGACAACTTCCAGTGGCAGACATTTTCCACTTCCTCTGGGTTCCCGAACCATCCCCGGTCTCAGCTACCAGCTTCTCACTTCCCACAACTGCAGTTCTCAACTGACTGAACCATTAGCTTTTAAGATTTACTTTATGAGTAGCGGTTTACCACCATTCACTTTGTTTTGATGTCAAGGCCATTGAGACTCAACAGAATCCTTGCGGTCATAGTCCTTATATAACATCCTCTCTGATGAGAAGATGACTTTGTCGCTCATGAGTGTGCTTGCCCTGGGGTCAAGTGTAGGTATAGCATGTCACTGAAAATTATTCCTTTCCAGTATATACAAATCCTCTCTCTGTCCAGGCTGATTACCAAATTTCTGCTAGTCCGCCCCAGCACTTATTCTGAACTGCTAGTCCTCATTATATAGCTCTGGCTCGGACCACAAGGAAAATGTCTCAACCATTATTAAGTGTTCTCTCATTGTTGGAGAAACAGCATCTTCGCAGAGCTGTTCCTTAGCAACAGCTGTTAGCAGTGGGTTTATATGTCACAGTATATTCCCATAGAACATGACACAGGATTTCTCATCTTCAAGACTGGCTGTTGAGCCCATGCCTGTCCTGTCTAATAGTGCTTTTCGTGGTGATAAAATAGCTGTAATACATGACCTGCCCACATCATCCTCCTTGACTTGATCATACTAATTATACTTGGAGAAGAGTGCAAGTTATGAAGCTCCTCATTATGCCGTTTTCTCCAGCAAAAATATTGCATAGCGTTAGCAAAATCATNATTTCTAGTTTTCAAATGCGGTTTTGTTACGTCACATCAACTGCTTAGTGCTCACGCGTGTATGTGTAGCTGCTTGATATCAAGGTTCGGCTGACACTTCGAGGCCTTCCATGTGGTTTTAGTTTCGAGTGTTCAGGTTTTACTCCACAGATGGCGCTAAGTTTTATTTCAATTTTTTCGTATAAATTCGCGCGTATTTAGCTTGGTCCCAAGTGCTTAAATAGCTGCGTGATATCAAGGTTGGGCTGACACTTCGTGGCTTTCCATGAGGTTTTAGTTTCGAGTGTTCAGGTTTTACTCCACAGATGGCGCTAAGTTTTATTTCAATTTTTTCGTATAAATTCGCGCGTATTTAGCTTGGTCCCAAGTGCTTAAATAGCTGCGTGATATCAAGGTTGGGCTGACACTTCGTGGCTTTCCATGAGGTTTTAGTCTCGAGTGTTCAAGTTTTGCTCCACAGATTGTGCTAAGTTTTTATTCCGCGCTGTTTTACGTTAGTCCCAAGTGATTAACGTTTAACGGCCGAAGTTCCCCGATCGAGCCACTGAGGAGTATGATCTTCGTGGCCGAAGTACGCCGTTTCGGATAGTCCGAAATTTAATCTTTTGTTAGTAGAAGCGCATGCTGGTCACGGTAGCCGAGCAGTCTAAGGCAGGTACTGTCTTCGCCTGCTTGGGAGCCGGGATTGTGGGTTCGAATCCCACTTAAGGTATGGATG